AAGTTTTTTGTTTTTTTTTTTTATTTTTTTTTTATGATTGAAAACTGTTCACCATGATACAATGTCTACCTTTTCACGATCCATGAGATCCTAATAAATACTATTTGCATTCACTAATTCAGTGATCATTACTCCGCATAGGATTCGTAATATACAACTTTATGGCAGGTCTGCTCTTGTCAGCTGCTAATTTCTATTTATATGGATCTGAGCAGGACCTGAAATAATTGATACATACATAGCTTTCTATAGCTACCTGATCCCCATTTGGCAAAGGAATGTTCCAGCACCGACCTTTGCAGGTTCGGATATGTCATGTGACCACATGCCAAGACTTGCAATGGAAGCTGGTGCTGGAGGATGTTAAGGTGTGACACAATAAACCATGTTCTTTGGGAGCACCAACCATTCGCCAAGGCCAACAGTCATGGTAGCACCATGGTAGACTTTGTGTGCTACAAGTTCAAATTCACAGAGATCTTTCCCTAACATGAAGGGACTAGCTGACTGTGGACCCCCCCCCCCCCCCCCCAAATCAAGGATGAGGGTTCCCAGTCCTTCCTTGTATCTACCTAAATATTCCGCAACTGGATAGCAAAGTCTGTAGTGAGATCCCTACACACAAATACAGATATATTTTTAAGAGAACCAACACCCACCTTTCTTTGAGGAACACTAATCTTTTGCTATGGCCACCAATCATGCTCTCCTCGGACCCTGCATTCACTATATCTGGTCTCCCTGGACCCTGCATTCACTATATCTGGTCTCCTCGGACCCTGCATTCTCTATATCCGGTCTCCCCGGACCCTGCATTCACTATATCTGGTCTCTCCAGACCCTGCATTCACTATATCTGGTCTCCCGGACCCTGCATTCACTATATCTGGTCTCCCCAGACCCTGCATTCACTATATCTTCTCTCCTCGGACCCTGTATTCACTATATCTGGTCTCCCCGGACCCTGCATTCACTATATCTGGTCTCCCCAGACCCTGCATTCACTATATCTGGTCTCCTCGGACCCTGCATTCACTATATCTGGTCTCTTCGGACCCTGCATTCACTATATCTGGTCTTCCCGGACCCTGCATTCACTATATCCGGTCTCCCCGGACCCTGCATTCACTATATCTGGTCTCCTCGGACCCTGCATTCACTATATCTGGTCTTCCCACCGGACCCTGCGTTCACTATATCTTTTCCACCATGGAAAACTTTGTATGGTACATGTTCTTTAAATTCACAGAGATCTGCCCATAACATAAAGGAGCTACCTGACTCTGGATCCCCCCCTCCCCCCCAAGGCTAAGAGGTCCCAGTCCTCCCTTGTATCTACCTGAATGGTCTGCAACTGGACCGCAAAGCCTGTAGTGAGATCTCTACAAACAGATGCATACAGTATACACACTCACCGGCCTTATTAGGTACACCTGTTCAATTGCTCGGTAAACACAAATTACTAATCAGCCAATCACATGGCAGCAACTCAATGCATTTAGGCATCTAGATGTGGTGAAGACGACTTGTTGAAGTTGAAACGGAGGATCAGAATGAAGAAGGAAGGGGATTTCAGTGAGTTTGAACGTGGCATGGTTGTTGGTGCCAGATAGGCTGGTCTGAGTATTTCAAAATTTGCTGAACTATGGGATTTTCACGCACAACCATCTTTAGGGTTTACAGAGAATGGTCCAAAAAAAGAGAAAATATCCAGTGAGCGGCAGTTGTGTGGACAAAAATGCCTTGTTGGTGTCAGAGGTCAGAGGAGAATGGGCAGACTGCTTTGAGATGATAGAAAGGCGACAGTACCTCAAATAACCATTTGTTACAACCAAGGTATGCAGAATACCATCTCCGAATGCACAAACCTTGAAGCAGATGGGGAACAGCAGCAGAAGACTAAACTGGGTGCCACTCCTGTCAGCTAAGAACAGGAAACAGAGGCTACAATTTGCACAGGCTCACCAAAATTAGACAATAGAAGATTGGAAAAATGTTGCCTGGTCTGATGAGTCTCAATTTCAGCTGTAACATTCAGATGGTAGGGTGAGAATTTGGCATAAACAACATGAAAGCATGGATCCATCCTGCCTTTGTATCAATGGTTCAGGCTGGTGGTGGTGTAATGTGGAGAATGGGCCAACAACAGGAAAGCATGGATCCATCCTGCCTTGTATCAATGGTTCAGGCTGGTGGTGGTGTAATGTGGGAGAATGGGCCAACAACAGGAAAGCATGGATCCATCCTGCCTTGTATCAATGGTTCAGGCTGGTGGTGGGTGTAATGTGGAGAATGGGCCAACAACAGGAAAGCATGGATCCATCCTGCCTTGTATCAATCAATGGTTCAGGCTGGTGGTGGTGGTGTAATGTGGAGAATGGGCCAACAACAGGAAAGCATGGATCAATCCTGCCTTGTATCAATGGTTCAGGCTGGTGGTGGTGGTGGTGTAATGTGGAGAATGGCCAACAACAAGAAAGCATGGATCAATCCTGCCTTGTATCAATGGTTCAGGCTGGTGGTGGTGGTGTAATGTGGAGAATGGGCCAACAACAGGAAAGCATGGATCCATCCTGCCTTGTATCAATGGTTCAGGCTGGTGGTGTAATGTGGAGAATGGGCCAACAACAGGAAAGCATGGATCCATCCTGCCTTGTATCAATGGTTCAGGCTGGTGGGTGGTGGTGTAATGTGGAGAATGGGCCAACAATAGGAAAGCATGGATCCATCCTGCCTTGTATCAATGGTTCAGGCTGCCGGTGGTGGTGGTGTAATGTGGAGAATGGGCCAACAATAGGAAAGCATGGATCCATCCTGCCTTGTATCAATGGTTCAGGCTGGTGGTGGTGTCATGGTGTGGGGGATATTTTCCTGGCACACTTTGGGCCCCTTAGTACCAACTGAGCATCATTTAAACTCCATGCCCTACCTGAGTATTGTTGCTGACCATTTTCATCTCTGTATGACTCCAGCGTCCCCATCTTCTGATGGCTCCTTCCAGCAGGATAATGCCCCATGTCACAAACCTCAAATCATCTCCAACTGGTTTCTTGAACATGACAAGGAGGTCACTGTACTCCAATGGCCTCCACAGTCACCGGATCTCAATCCAATACAGCACCTTTAGGATGTGGTGGAACGGGAGACTCACATCATGGATGTGCAGCCAACAAACATGCAGCAGCTGCATGATGTTATCATGTCAATATGGACCAAAATCTCTGAGGAACGCCTTGCTGAATCTATGCCATGAAGAATGAAGGCAGTTCTGAAGGCAAAATGGGGTCCAACTTGGTACTAGCAAAGGTGTACCTAATAAAGTGGCCGGTGAGTGTATATTATAGGCGGTTGGGCTTCACAAACCTGAAGCATATACATAAATGATGTGTTTTATGTGCCAGGGAGATTTTTAGTCTAAGATTAGCATTTGAGATGAACCTTTGGAAAAAACTCAGATCAACTCTTTGAAATTCAGAGACCTTTGTATGCTTAGCTGCACTATGGCCTCATGGACAGAGACAGTTGTTGGCATACAAGCCTTGAAGCACTTTCCCACACCTGGTAGCTGCACGTACCCCATATCAGGAATGGCTGTTCATGGCCGTACTCAAGTAGAAGTCATATGCGTCCAGTGTATTTCCTCACACGCACCACTTTTGCATTTGGGGAAATGCGCCATGCGTGCAAGTGTGGATAAATGCTGAAAAATGGGCAATGGCGGCGTGTATGCAGCATTTGCGGCTTCCCAGGGATTTATATTTGAGGACCTGTATACTGATAAATGTCTGTGTGCATGAGGCCTTAAAATGTTTTCTGCCTGCAATTAGAAGTTAAAAGATTGACTATGAGTGGCAGGGCTGCCAGGGTTGAATGTGAAGCGCTGAAATGTGATCCCTAAAAACCATCCAATGTAGGGTGTAGGAGAGGCTGAAAGTGTTACTAAACCCACAACTGTACAATCAGTCTGTATATACAGTAAAGCGTGCTTGTTATACTCACTGTGAGACCTAAGGGGTTTATCCTCTGCATTGTGTAAAAAGGCCCTTTGATCCTTTCTTCTCTGTCCCTCCCCTTTTTCAAGCAATCACCTCTTATCTCCTGATAAGACAGACTGAACCTTAGGCATTTTGCACATGCTCAGTTTGGTGTGTATTGCTAGAGAGGATTTTTTTTCTTGGGAGAGTGCATGTGATCAGCACACGGCCAATCAGCACTGATCAGATAGAGGTCATAGAGTTTGCATACTCCTAGAGCAGAAAGAAAAAACTCCTACAAGCTTTAGCTAGTGCTGGGCTGGACACTGATAGAAGTCACAAGACAGCTCTAACTTCTGATGAGAAAAGGTATTTAGCAGTTTATATTTACTAAAATAATTGCATTTCCATGTTTTGTGTATGGTGGGAGACCAGATCTAGTGAATGCATGGTCCGGGGAGACCAGATATAGTGAATGCAGGGTCCAGGGAGACCAGATCTAGTGAATGCAGGGTCCGGGGAGACCAGATATAGTGAATGCAGGGTCCGGGGAGAGTGGATATAGTGAATGCAGGGTCCGGGGAGAGCGGATATAGTGAATAAAGGGTCCGGGGAGGCCAGATATAGTGACTGTAGGGTCCGGGGAGACCAGATATAGTGAATGCAGGGTCCGGGGAGACCAAATATAGTGAATGCAGGGTCCGGGGAGAGCGGATATAGTGAATGCAGGGTCCGGGGAGACCGGATATAGTGAATGCAGGGTGCAGGGAGAGCAGATATAGTGAATGCAGGGTCCGGGGAGAACAGATATAGTAAATGTAGGGTCCGGGGAGACCAGATATAGTGAATGCAGGGTCCGGGGAGACCAGATATAGTGAATGCAGGGTCCGGGGAGACCAGATATAGTAAATGTAAGGGTCCGGGGAGAGCGGATATAGTGAATGCGGGGTCCGGGGAGACCGGATATAGTGAATGCAGGGTCCCGGGGAGACCAGATATAGTGAATGCAGGGTCCGGGGAGAGCGGATATAGTGAATGCAGGGTCCGGGGAGACCAGATATAGTGAATGCAGGGTCCGGGGAGAGCGGATATAGTGAATGCAGGGTCCGGGGAGACCGGATATAGTGAATGCAGGGTCCGGGGAGAGCGGATATAGTGAATGCAGGGTCCGGGGAGACCAGATATAGTGAATGCAGGGTCCAGGGGGAAAGCGGATATAGTGAATGCAGGGTCCGGGGAGACCAGGTATAGTGAATGCAGGGTCCAGGGTTTAGTAACACTTTAATGGAATGATGTCTAGAGCTCCTGAACAAGGCAGGCATTCCGCAAGCGACAGAGGCCATCCACATTGAGAAGTCCATGGGAAAGAGCATCAAAAATTCACGTTACGACACCTGACACCACCAGCACCTTCACTACATGTCCATTGATCAGCTCGGTTTTCACTTTGAGATGATTCTTTCAGTAGTATCTTAAAGCAATACTATCCTCTCTCCATCAACATGAACTATATTGTATCCTTCTACTACCAGCATTAGTAAATAGACAGTCAGGCATTTTATAGTTACTTGTTTTAACCTTTTTTCTTTACGTTTCTTCAGCTGCTTCCTAGTTTCTGGTCTAGGCCTAAATTATGTCATACATCCCAGTAGTCTTCATGGAAGGAGCAGAGGAGGGGTTTTCTCCGCTAAGCACATCGTCCTGCCTGCACGCCTGAGCTAAGGGCAGATGAATTTCAGAAAATAAACTCTACATGAATCATCTGCCCTTGCTCAAGATGGCCACCACTAGAAATACTAGGGAAGGAGTGGAGGGGCTGATTCAGTGATTTGTTAACAAAAAAAAAAAATCATGGGAGACACGGATGGGTGAGTTTGATTTTATGCCTTTTTTTTTTTTTTTTTTTTTACATTTTTTCAGTTGCTTCCTGGTTTTCGACCTATGCCAAAATGATGTCATACAAGCTGCAAGTTTTCATGGGTATTTTGTTTTTCTTTCACCTGGAGAAGGGGTTTTTCTCAGCTAAGCACACCTTCCTACTTGCATGCCTGAGCT